ATGGGTTGCCCAGGCCTTCTCACTGACACTCACATTCGGGGGGGTCCAGATCATTCCCATGCTGGCCTCCCCGCTGTCAGTCTAGCAATGGTTTTGAAGGCATAAAGGGGATCAGGGACAAGAGCTGAGACTTAGTGTTGACAGAGATCAGAAGAGATGCTTGGTAAAGTTGAAGGCTCAGTAGCCTTGATAAGCCAGGATGAAACAGGTCATACACAAAGTTGAGACTTAGCACCATGAAGAATGTCCAGAGGATATTGGTGAAAGTACAGCCAAGTAATGTGTCAGTTTCTGAGTTCTTGCTGATTTTGAAAAAATAATGGGTTATTTATAGTTAAGCCCTGCCAACATAATAGGTGTGGAGAGGACACTAATCAAAGTAAAGACTTGGTTGCAGTAAACATGACACTACTGAGTGGTTGGGAGAGTTTGAGGCTTTGGATGATGCAGCAGGTTCACAGTCCTTGAGGAGAACGCAGGAGATGGTGTAGATGAAGGAACATAACATTTGTAACAGAAGCCTCATCATTTTGAAGATGGTAGTTTGTGTCAACCATGAATAGGAGCACTGTGGAATGGAAAACCTGAGCCTAGGGAATAAACGGTATGTGCTGTATATGGCAGAGTTAGAAAAGTTGGAATGTCAAAACTGGGTAACCAACGTAGGATGACATGATGCAGCTCCCTCAGTTAACCTGCATGTTTTATTAATCCAATATTCTTTAGCGTGAAATAGCTTTATGTATCTATGGAACATTGCATCTACTCACTTGGGAATATATCAGGGAGTTGTGTAAAATGGTTAGTATGCTACATTTATTTTTTAATTCTCAATACTAATCTCCAGGGAGCATTCGGCATGTTGCTTGTTCACTATCAGTGAATAACATGAGAATCCCCCTTTCATTAGCATTGGATTTGTATTCTTTTCTTGGTTTTGTTTAACTGAAGATGAAGTCACCAAGTTGTTTAAATTTTAATTTCTATAATTACTAAGGATGAGGAGCACTTTTTAATTTTCCATGATTTTTTTCTTCTACTGAGAACTCATTTTATCCTTGGCCCCTATGATTTCAAGTGAGTTACTTGTTTCCTTGGCTTTTTCACTCTTGACCTTACTATATATTCCGGAGATTAATCTTTTTTTCACATTCATACCTGGCAATACTTGCTTGTATTCTTTGAGTTTGCTCATATATGAATTGACTGCTTCCTTACCCATACAGAAGTGTTTCGAGTTTGACTTCACGACTGACAATTATTGTCCTCATTTTCTGGGCAGATGCAGTCCTGCTCAGAAGGTCGATTTCACATCAGCACTTAAAGGGTGCTGCCAATGCTTTCTTTTGTCAGTTTTAGTTTGGGGGAATTCAAATTGAGTTCCTGTGTAACTTGGACCTAATTTTGTGATGGCTGATAATTATTTTGTGATTGCATGTAGATAGAGAGGTTTATTCTAGTAATATTTTTATTGTTTTTTTTATTTTTTGGTTTTTTGAGACAGGGTTTCTCTGTATTGTTTTGGAGGCTATCGGTCCAGCCCGGCCTCGAACTCACATAGATCCGCCTGCCTCTGCCTCCCGAGTGCTGGGATTAAAGGTGTGCGCCACCACCGCCCGGCCTAGTAATATTTCTTAATGATGCATTCTTTTCTTTAATTTTTTTGCCATCTTTGCCCAATAGTATATGGTTTAATTTATATACACCTCTGCTTGTTTAATTTTGTTCCACTGGTCCACATGTCTCCTTTTTTTAAACTGACCCTTCTGTTCCCAAGAGATAGTGTTGAATATATGTATATATAATATCCCAAACTTATTCAAAATGAAACTGTACAAATAAACGCTAAAACGTACAAGTCCAGATGCAGAGCAGCATGATTGAGTTTACAGATAATTTGTTCTCAACTTCATATGTAGACTTAGACATGTAGAATGTTACAAATAAAATAAAATATTGAAAAGAATAAAAATATCTGTTGTTTATAAAGTCTATCAAAGTTTGCCAAAGTAAAATTTGAACAAAAAATGTTTCTAAGTAGGTTATAATACCAGATACCTTCCTAAATGTCTCGTTTATTTTGTAATAGTGTCCTTTAGATATATAAAAGACAATATAAAGTTAAGGATTCATTCAGAATTGACACATTAGTTTATTAGAAATATACTTCCTAGATCCGGGTGGTGGTGGCACACGCCTTTAATCCCTGCACTAGAGAGGCAGAGGCAGGCGGATCTCTATGAGTTTGAGGAGAGCCTGGTGTACAGAATTCCAGGATAGGCTCCAAAGTTACACATAAAAACCCGGACTCAAGATACCGAAGGAAGGAAAGAAGGAAAAAAAGAAGGAAGGAAGGAAGGAAGGGAGGGAGGGAGGAAGGAAGGAAGGAAAGCAATAACTCCTGGAAGCTGGAGAGATGGTTCGGCAGTTAAGAGCACTGCCTATTCTTTGAAAAGTCCCAACTTCAAGTCCCAGCAACCACATGATAGATCACAATCATCTGTAATGAGATCTGGTGCCCTCTTCTGGCCTTCAGGCATACATGCAAGCAGAATACTGTATACATAAACATAAATAAATCTTTTTTAAAAACATACTTCCTGAAAATTGGTTTTCAGCAATACATATATGAGAGTATACAACATGGATAACTATCGAAACCAGGACTTTTAAAAAATTTTTATTAGAATAAATTATGTCTTAGAAACATGCATGCATGTTTCAAGTGTCAATCCCAGCTCCCTCTCCCACCCCTCCTCCCTTGTCCCTCTACCAGCCCCCTCCAGCCTCATACCCAATCCCCACATCATTCCCCAGGGAGGGTGAGGCCCTCTTTGGGGGGATTCCCAGAGTCTTATTTCATCCAGGGCAGGGCCTAGGCCCTTCCCCATGTGTCCAGGCTGAGAGAACATCCCTCTGGAATGGACTCAGAAAGTTCATTCATATGCCATGTTAAACACTGGTCTACTACCCAAGGCCCCAGAGATTTCTGAGGCCTCCTCACTGATGCTACATTCATGGAGTCTGGATCAGTCCCCTATTGGCCTCTCAGCCATCCATCTGGGGTTCAAGAGCTCCCCCTTGTCCAATGTGTTGTCTTTATGAGAAACCAGGACTGTTAAAGAGACCCTAGATGTGTGTGTTGGGGTGGTGAATAATAGAAAAAAATTGATATGAAATAGGAACAAGAATTGACAGTGGGTAAACTCAAAGTTGTGAATAAAGAGATAGGTCAATAGAGAAGTAGGATGAATGGGAGATAAGTAACACCAAGGTTTAATACAGTATCAAATATTCACATTTTATAATCACTTAATCATACAATACATATAAAATTGCATACACACATATACATACACACAAGTCTCTCTCTCTCTCTCTCTCTCTCTCTCTCTCTCTCTCTCTCTCTCTCTCGTGTGTGTCTCTGTATCTCTCTCTCTCTCCAAGTTAAATCATTGGAATTATCAGTGCTTGTCAGAACTATAGACTAACAGACAACCTAGTATGGGATGAGAATCTTCCTGTCAAATGTCAATGTAGCCATGTGACTCTGAACTCTGAAAACAATTTCAGGTGTAGCTTTAATTGCCTCTTGTGGTTTGAAGGGGTGACTCTACTGATGAAGACATTGCACTCATGAGGTAAGATTCAGAAATCCAGATCCTTTGGGCAGGGCCAGAACTAAAGTCTCTCTGGAATTCTTGCTACTACACATCCAGAAAATGTTTTGCTGCTAAAGGAAGGATGCTCTAAAAAGTCATGCCCAGTTTATATATATATGTATGGACAATTACCAGCCTTGCAAGATATGTGTAAAGGTCAACTGAGTGGCACTCGCATGTCAGAGGCAATAAACAGCTGTCTAATTATCCTTATACCAACAAGAAGGAAATCTTGCTTTGTACTGGAATCATAACCCATTTCTCGGGGCTAGTGAAGTCATGAACTTTAAGGTAGAATCTCCTATATCGAATTGTGTAGACAAGCATAATTCCTATCTACAACTTATGATACACATGTAGAATTTAGGTATCATCCCTTAATGATGAAGACTCTCTTCACAGAAAAAAAAAATGAGACTACAGAAATCCCCAACTGAACACAGTGCAGATCTGAAGAGGATTGGTGGCCCAGTCTCCAAACATATACCCACAGGACAGCTCCTGCATCAATAGCTAAAGTAAACCCACTAACCTGGGGAGGCAGAGGTGGTGTACCTGCAAAAATATGAGGAAGTTGGCTGTGAAATAGTATGTTCTAGAAAAATAATGCATAACCTGACATGTTTATAGGAATGTGAAAAAGCTTCATGTGTTCCTGGACTAGACGCAACTACTGCTCGTCAGAAGGAAAAGGAGCAGATGTTTCCAGGCCCATGGTCAGCAGCACCAGAACTAAGTATGTGGCTGATGAAACACTTGACTTTTGCATCTGTGGGAGCAAAACTTAATCCTTTGGGGCCAGTGAAAAAGGAACACAGACACAGACACCTTCAACCTGTCAGGGTCTCTCCTCTTTTTCTTCCTTACCTCTCTCTTGCCTGTTTACATTTTATCTTTTCCTGATGTGTTCCTTCCCCCCTCTTCCTCCTGCTACACCTTCTTTATATTTTAAGCAATATAAAAATTATGTGGTTACATTCCATTTTTCAAGTGAATGTAAACTTCATTTTCAAGTGAAGTAAAACCATGGTTCTCACTTACCTGACATGATTAAATATTTTACATATTACAGGCGAAAATCAAATTATTTCCAAAAGCCCTAATACATTCATGTCTAAGAACCTTTCTTTTTTTTTTTTTTTTTTTTTTTGAGGCAATGTTTCTTTGTAGCTTTGGGGCCTGTCCTGGGTATCTCTCTATAGACTAGGCTGGCCTCGAACTCACCGATCCACCTGCCTCTGCCTCCCAAGTACTGGGATTAACAGCATGCACCACCACCACACAGCTCATGTCTAAGAACTTGTTTTATAGATTACAAAAGCATAAGCAAGCAAGGTATCTTTTTCTCTCAGTTGGTTTTAATGGCAAATGACATTTTGTGTTTACAAAGAAAGGATCAATCATTTTACTATTTATCTCAAAATGTAACCTATAAAAATCTTAAAAGAATCACAAATATAGTTTTAAATATGAAAAACAGTCATCTCTACTTCAGATGTTTAATCATGTCAAGTAGTTGAGGGCAAATTTGAATACAAAAAATTAACCATTGCCTTTGATCACCAACCCATCTTTAGCAACAGAAGCACATCAGCTACTCATAACTGGTATGCCTTTCTTTTTGTTTCTTGACTTCCACATGTCCCTTGCTATATACCGCAGCACAGTCTTAGGCTTCTTGATTTTTCATTCTTATGCTATCATTGAGTTTGAAAAAAGTTTACAGAAAATTTTCCTACATTGTCACATTTTCAGAATTTTTCCTCAGTATAAACTCTGTATGATTTGCACATAACATAAAGGCTTTCACAAATTTCTCATGCTCTTAATGCGGATCTTGTATGGAGGTGCAGTGATCTCTAGTAACAGAGCTTTTAGTAAAGCATATGCTTTATTAACAGTCTCTTCCCAGTCAGCCTTTTCTCAAGAACTATTAGCAGTGAGGGAAGAGAGATACTTTGCCACATTTACTACACTCACAGTTTTGTCCCCTGTATGAATGGTCTGATGTCGTCTCAGGTGTGAAGCCTGTGTAAAGGATTTCTCACATTCATTACATCTGTAAGGTTTCTCTCCTGTATGAAGGGTCTGATGTTGTCTCAGGTGTGAAGCCTGTGTAAAGGATTTCTCACATTTACTACATCTGTACGGTTTCTCTCCTGTATGACTTCGCTGATGCTTTCTAAGACTCGAGATATACGGAAAGGATTTCTCACATTCAGTACATTTGTAAGGTTTGTCTCCTGTATTAATTATCTGATGTTGTCCAAGAGTGGAGACATATGCAAAGGATTTCTCACAATTGCTAGATTTAAAAAGTGTCTCTCCTATATGAATTCTCTGATGTTGTCCAAGAGTAAAGACATGTGCAAAGGATTTCTCACAATCAGGAGATTTGAAAGGTTTTTCTCCTGTATGGATTCTCTGGTGTTGTCCAAGAGTGGAGACATACACAATGGATTTCTCACAGTCACTAGATTTGAAAGGTTTCTCTCCTGTATGAATTCGCTGATGTTGTCCAAGAGTAGAGGCATATGCAACGGATTTCTCACAATCACTAGACTTGAAAAGTTTCTCTCCTGTATGAATTTGCTGGTGCTTTCTAAGATTCAAGATATATGGAAAGGATTTCTCACAATCGCTAGATCTGTAAGGGTTCTCTCCTGTATGAAGGGTCTGATGTCGTTTCAAGTGTGAGCCCTGTGTAAAGGATTTCTCACATTTACTGCATCTGTACGGTTTCTCTCCTGTATGACTTCGCTGATGCTTTCTAAGACTCGAGATATATGGAAAGGATTTCTCACATTTAGTACATTTGTAAGGTTTGTCTCCTGTATTAATTATCTGATGTTGTCCAAGAGTGGAGTCATATGCAAAGGATTTCTCACAATCGCTGGGTTTGAAAAGCTTCTCTCCTGTATGAGTTCTCTGATGTTGTCCAAGAGTGGAGACATATGCAAAGGATTTCTCACAATCGCTAGATTTGAAAAGTTTCTCTCCTGTGTGAATTCTCTGATGTTGTCCAACAGCAGACACATAAACATAGGACTTCTCACAATCGCTAGATTTGAAGGGTTTCTCTGCTGTATGGATTCTTGGATGTGAGCTAAGATGATCTTTCTGGATGAAACAGTTTTCATATTCACTGTATTTGTAAGTTCTCTCTCCATTATGGGTTTTGTAATGGTTTTTAACTTGATACAAGAGGTAAAGGCACATCCCACATTCTTTACATTTGTAGGACTTCTCTCTAGAATGAGTTCTCTGATGTCTACTGAGACTTGAGTAGGCCCTAAAGTACTTCGTACATTTCCCACATTGGTGTATTTTCCCTCCACTAGAAATCTCTTTCAGCATGAGTGTATATTTAGACTCAAATGAGTCATCACAGTCTGTATTTTTGCGTAGTTCCTTTCTAGTGTGAATTCTTTGACTAATGATGCAACACAAATTTAACCATTTCCCACAGTCTTTATATTTGTAAGTTTCTTCTCCTGTGTTTCTACATTTATGATTCTTTAGGTTTGTTGATACAATAGAGGTATCCCTGTGGTTATCACATTCATACTTGTTGGAGTTCTCTGAAAGATCACTTGAGTTATGAGGTGTACAACAGGAGAATTTGTGGACCTTTACGCCAATCTCACTATTTTCATAAGACTTCTCTTGGATATTCACAGGGTGATAGACAATGTGCTTTGATCCTTGATCCAAGATGTTCATATTTTTCACATACATATGATATTTCTCTGGAAAATGAGCACAAAAATGGATTAAAGGGATAAATGCATGTTACAGATTCAAGAACTGATGTCTCAGTTCTGTAAGCTAAGTTATGCAGCAGACTTGGAAACAGACTTCTCAGAAGAGGCAGGCTTTTTATGTTTCATTATTGTGAAATGCATGCTTAAACACAATCTAAACACAGGGCAGTAGTAGTGCACACCTTTAATCCCAGCACTTGGGAAACAGACAGAGTTATATCTCTGTAAGTTGGAGGCCAGCCTGGTCTACAGAGTGAGTTACAGGATAGCCAGGACTGTTTCAAAAAGAAACCCTGCCCCACCCATAAACAACAACAACAACAAAAACAAAATAATCTAATCTCCATCAAAATCTGAAGACTGATAGTAGCCTTCTTATTATATAAACTGTAAATCCTGCAGAAGTTATGAGAAATACTTGATTGAGCAGTAATAAGATTGACAATGGAGCTTTTAGAGGGATCATATGTGGATGATTTCTCTGTCTTCTTACTGTTTATATTTTTGAGACGGCCACAGTATACAGACCTGACCAGCATGAAATACACTATGTAACCCAAGCTGGCCAGGAACACACCACATCCTCTTACCACAGCCTTCCTATTGCTAGCTTTAAAATCATGCTACTTTATGCTACCAGCAATAAATATAGACCAACAACTCTAAAGCATATAAATGACATCAACAAAAACAGGAAAATGCACATGAGAACTATTTTCCCTATTTTAAAATCTCTATATTTTTCAAAATTCAGAAGCAAGTGAAGCTTAATATGATAATATTAATACATTCCAAACACTAGTATACAATAATGAATTTATTTGCTCTGAATATTCAACTTTCTTTGAAGACTGAAGTTATCCTTAAATACCAGATAAAAGGCCTGTATAGATGACACAATATTTAGTATTGGTTGCTTTTTCAGAGAACAAAGAATAGTGTAACAAAAAAGAAGAAAAAGCTATGTTTATTAACATAAGTTCCCCCAGATAAGGTAGTCTCTGGATTGTTCAGAGAATTTATAAAACTAAAAAGCAGGCAAATACCAAAGATGAGACAAATACCCCTCATGAAGAGATTTCTTACCAACAAAAACTAGATTGCGGTAATTCTCCAACATCACATCAATGTACAAGGCCTTTGAAGCAGACTCCAGGCATTCCCACTCCTCCTGGGAGAAGTCCAGAGACACATCCCCAAATGTTAACAGATCCTGTAATGGAAAATTATCCATTTACCATATGTTGCTGGAGAACAAGTTTTCCTAGGAAAAGGGACCTAAGGAAATAGAGACAGTTTTCTGATATAAATGACCCAAGCCCATTATTCCAATATGTTTTCTAGAGATGGTGAAAAAATTAGTTCATTAGATAAGAGCACTGGTTGCTCTTCAGAGGACAATCATGAAGATCCCAGCATTGATATGACATCATGCAACTGATTCTAATTACTATGCCACAGGATCTGTGATTATTTAAAAGAAATTGGACACCAAACAGAATGGGATTGTTAGGATGTGTGGCATTGATGGATTAGTTTTGCCATCTAGAAGAAAGTGTGTCACTGTGGGTGTGGGCTTTGACATCTCCTTTGCTCAAGCTATGCTCAGTAAGGTAGACAGTACAATTCCTGTTGCCTACAGATGAAGGACTAGAACTACAGCTCCTTCTCCATGACCTTGTCTGCCTCCATACTAAAATGTTTCCTTCCATGATGATAATGGATTAAAACTTAAACTGGAAGGATCTTTAATTAAATGTTTTCCTTTATAAAAGTTACTATGTTGCAGTGTCTTCACAGAAACTGAAACCATAACTAGGACAGCAGCTGTAACAGGGACAGGAATAATACTGTGATAGGCATGACCATGGAACTGCATACAGGAATTTGAATTATGTTACTTTGGGTAAAGAAATCAGTGGAATGCTTTAAGTGCTGCTTAATGGGACATACAAGTAGCAGCAAGGAATTCAGTGGTGCTGAGTGTGATTTGAAAAGTAATTAAAGAAAAGTTTAGACCCAGGTATGGTGGTGCAGCCCATTTCCTAGTACTCTGGAGACAGAGGCAAGGAGATCTCTTAAGTTTGAGGCCATCCTGATCTACAGAGAGAGGTCCGGGATAGCCAAATTTAGGCAGTAAAGGAAACAAGTAAAACACAGAAAACAGGTGAAAATGGAATTGAACAAGGCAAGAACAGAAGAAAGAGTTAAGAATGACTCAATGACTCAGGAAGTTGGCTGAGGTAGAGTGTGGCAGTGGTATCCCTGCATGGAGACTCAGAAAAGCCATTGTGTGAAGGTATGAAGGTGAAGCCTTTATTGCCTTGAAATCTCAAGAGCTTGCCACAATCATGGCATACCTGTCAAAAGAGGTACTAACAGGGAATGGAACAGGTCCAAGAAGTATGTGGCAGTCAACAAAGATAAAGGAATTGTAGATATGAAAAGCTTTGGTATCAGACATGGAGATGAAGAGTTTGTCAGGTTGTTTTTCAGTCTTGATTTGGTTCAGTTTTCCTCCTTATGCTCTCTTTCCTACATATCTGGATGTTAATGTACATCCTGTGCCATTTTATATCGGAAGTACGTGATTTTTTTTTTTGATTTTGAGTTTTCAGGGGATTACAGTTAAGAGACTGCATGAATCTCAGAAGAGACTTTGAACTTTAGACTTTTAGGGACCAGGGAGTAGAATACAGCTGTTTGAAAGACAATGGCCACTAAGGGAATGGTAGTATTAGGAGATGTGGACAAGTTGCAGAATGGGTGATCTTTGGGAGGAAGTGTGTTGTAAACAGAGGTGGAGCTTTCCTTTTGTCCCGAATGTCCGGTCCTGAATAATCACACAAAAACTTATATTAATTCCAGATGTTCGGCCTATAGCTCAGGCTTATTACTAACTAGCTCTTACACCTTAAATTAATCCATTTCTATTAATCTACATTTTGTCACATAGCTTTGTGACTACATGTCTTCCCCAACAGCTGGCTCCATCTCCCTGACTCCACCCTTCTCCTCTTGTATATTCAGTTTGCCTTTCCCACCTGGCCTTATTCTGCTTGCTACAGACCAAAGCAGCTTTTATGTTAACCAATGAGTGAAATACAAATTCACAGCATACATTAGGATTATCCCACAACTGTGTGACTAGGGCTGTGGGCTTTGAGGTCTCCTATGTTCAAGCTAAAACCAGAGTGACTCTGTTCACTTCCTGTTTCCTGGGGGAAAAGAAGATGTAGAATTCCCAGGTCCTTTTCCATCACTGTGCCTGCCTACATGCCACCATGAAATTGTAAGCTACCATCAACAAAATGTCTTTCTTTATTAAATTCCCTGTCTGTAGTCATGGTGTCTCTTGGATCCCTAAGTATGACAGAATCCAAAGTTCTTTTGTACTCTACAGTCAGAAGGAACACACAGTATTAATGCCTACATTTATTCATCAGACACAGATCCATAAGACAAAAATGAAATTGAATTATAAAAAGAAATGTTCTGGAATACCCTTTATTGTATTTTCCATGTCTATAAAAACAGAATGGCATAATAGTCTCACCTACGTTATTCTTTTAGGAAATATAAGAGATAACATTTGCAGACTAGATCTAGGAATTTACCACTATCAACAGTATGTTGATATATCAAATAAGGTGTCTCATCTCAGATAGGCAAATTTCAAGGGGCAAAATCAAAACAACTTTCATTCTTGCTTAAATATGGACCCTGGATCATTCTTGCTGACAACCGGGCATCACCTAACCCTATTCTATCTAACATGCTTAGTTGGGATGTTGGTGTATTTGTTCTATAATGTACCCATTGCAAAACAAACAGGTGGAATGTAGAAGGCACAATTTATTGAGGAATTAAAAGTCAGATAGCTTGGGTGTTTTAACTATAAGGATTGCAACAACACTTTTTACATCCAAAATACTAGACAAACAATACAATCAAATATCCTTTGATATATTTTGAGAATGAGATAAATAGGAAATTCAAAATGAGATGGTAGAATTATCTAAATCTCTCAAAAAGAAAACATACCAGTACTATTAAATAACAATACCACAAATCTATGTTATTTCATTATACAACAGATATAAAAATTTATATATATATATATATACAATGAGCCTATTTGACAATCCATTCAGATGAAGTAAAAAGATGATCTGTGTCCACAATGAATGTATTAAGTTTTTTGAGAATAATATTAACTCTTTATTGATTTTGAATATATTATGCTCGTGGGTATTGCTTAGTTGAAAATTTGAATCTTGTAATTTCACTCTATTCTTTTCCTTAGTATCTGAGCTCAACCATCTAAGAGGATTTTGCGCTGAATAGAAAGTAACACTTAGATTCCTTTAATTTTCAGAAATTAAATGAAAAAGGTTGACAACTGGTTCCTCCAAAAGCTTCAACATGAATGAAAAACTGGGAGCTGAGGAGATAGCTCAGTGGTTAAAGGCACATGCCTTTCTTGCAGAGAAAGCAAGTTTGATTCTCACTACACACATGCCAGGTGATTAACGTTCCTGACTCTGCTAATGGATGATTGTGGACAAACCCAGATCTTCATGGCCATTGTGCAGGCATGTGGCATACACAAACCATGCAGATAAATACTTGAATACTCAAATAATATGGACATTTTTAAAGACAGAAATGGAAATTTGTCCATATAAACTTTTCTTCAAAATCTCTATCTATGCAATATAGTAGCTTCAGGGAAAGGAAAAACATAAGTTGGGGCAGCTGCTTCTTCCAAAATTAGAGGAGAGAACAAAGGTATAAAGGAGAGAAACTCATATACAGTTGAAAATTGAGGGCTTATGCAAAGCAACAAGTCAATAATTTCTAGAAAATTCTTTCTGATATGGTCTATATAATGTAAGACAGAGGTCAGTCAGGCAGTGCTTTCACAATGGTATCCTGTTGAAAAAAATAAACAAAACACAAAGGGAAAGTGTATTGAGAACTTACCACTGAACACTGGATTCAAAAGAAAGATATCAGTAGGAACTAAACTGAGACAAATAGATTTCAAGAGTCAAAGCAAAACACAAACAAACAAAAAACAAAGGGAAATCATCACTGTGTGACACCAAATGCCAAAGAGAGAAACCACTATACTGCAATATGCATCTCCTCCCTGATATATCAGTTTCATGACAAGATCACGTCACATGCTCCTTCAATTATCTGAGCTCTCTATCATGCTGAAATGGTATTTAGGACTCAAGAGAGTAAGTCTCTTCTAATGCTTGTTTTCCATGTATGCATTACTGATATCAGAAAAAAAACTGTATGAATTTGCATGGTCACTTTAAAAGACCTGTTCTCAAACATGAACATCCCTGAAATATAACCCATGCAGGACATGAGGCCTTCCCTCTTCAGTAAAAAACAAAAACACAAGTATATCCTTTGTAGGATCTAGGCACTAATATATCTCTTAGATCATCATTTACAATGGAATCCTTTTGAGAATTACAGGTTTTACAATCATGAAAATATATCTGGTTATTAGGAAAGAAAAAGAAAGGCAATAATAATAAGAAACAAATTCTTTAGATGGCATTATCTGAGACAGAGAAATAAAAGCTTGAATGATATCAATGTAAAACGATTTTCAAAGTAATATTGATAGGACACTGACCTGAGACACATTCCCTGAAGATACAGCCATTCTCTCTGACAACTCTTCTCTAAGTTTCTGTTGCAGGAACAAAGACCAGAATTCTTGTTGACATTTCAAAGCAAGGTGTCAAAACACAAACCTAAAATTAATATGACTCTATTATGTGAAATAACAAACCACATAAAAAGTCCCAAACACCATAATCATAATGATATCAGAGGTCTTGTTCACATTTCTTGGGGGGGGGCACCACGGGAATGGGACACAATGACACAGCATGGATATAGATATATTTAGTGTGCTAAGAGAAATACAGTCAATCATTTCATTTCACTAAGAAACATTGATTCCAAAAATTCACGGAGAAAGAGAGGTCGTTCAATCAAGCGGCAGTGCAGAACATGCTTAGAGGCACAGTATACATAGAAATCTCAGACAGAAATTATCCATGAGAATACAGGAAATAGAATATTTTACACAAAGAATTATTGAATAGAGGGAAGCTAGGGAGTAATGAACCATGTCTAACACATCAAACTAAAAACCCACTATTTCCAATGAGAGGGAAGAACAATACTTCCAGGAATTTAACCAATAAGAATATATTTTAAAATATACAACAAAGAAAAAATACACTAATAGAGACAAATAGAGAAAATCTTTGTAAAAATGGAAATTTCATAAGGCACAGCTCAGCATGCCCCATCACCACCCACAAAAACTCAGAGACCTGGAGGCTACCTCTCCATACTCCAAACCATCCCATACTGCATCTGTCTCCACTGGGGTCTTAGCCCCATTACCTCTGGGAGAGGTGAGTGCCCGGATCCCCAGCTAAAGCCCCCTAACCTCGAGGTCCTAATCACCCTGGTAACATTACTCTCCCAACCCCTGTCCACTGAAACTCAAGAGACCTGGGGGGCAGCCTCCTCACACCCCCAAACAATCCAGCACTACACATCTGTCACCATCATAGCCTTGGCCCTGCCTCCACAGGCCCCACCTACATCAATTGGAGGAAGAGAGACCCCCTGAATCATAAGCCCCGCCTACACCCACTGGAGGAAGAGATAGGTAGACAACAGCATAAAAACATATTCAACAACATAGAGTAATATGACACCAACAGAGATGAGGGGTTCTATACCAGCAAGACATCAACATTACAATGTAGATGAAGCAGAAGAAAACAACCTAATAATAACCTTAAGATTATAACTGAAGTCCTTAAAGAGGAAGTGAAAAATTCCCTTAAAGAAATGGAGGAAAAGACAAACAAAAAAATGGAATAAATGGAGGGAAAGACAAGCAAAAAATTGAAGAAATCAATACATCAATACATCCATTATAGAAAGCAAGGAAAGCCAAGAAAAAAAAAATCAAACAAGTGAAGGAACAGTTTAAACAATTTAAAACTTGAAAACTGAAATAGAGGCAATGAAGAAAACACAAACTGAGGGAACGATGGAAATGGAAAATCTGGGTAAAAGATAAGGAACTACAGATGCAGGCACAACCAACAGAATACAAGAGATGGAAGACAAAATCTCAGGTGCTGAAGATAAACTGGAGGAAATATATTCATCAACCAAAGAAAATCTTTATTCCAACAAATCCCTAACACAAAATATCCAGGAAATATGGGACACAGTGAAAAGACCAAACCTAAGAATAGGAGGTACAGAGGTGAAGAAAGCTAACTCTAAGGTGCAGAAAACATATTCAACAAAATCATAGAAGAAAACTTTCCCAACCTAAAGAAAGATAACCCATGACAAACCAGATTTAAACAATACATAGTCATAAATCCAATCCTACAGAAAGTACTAAAAGGAAAACTCCAACCTGAAGAAGTTATCTACACCCACAAAAACACAGGCAATAGATAATCCAACATTACCAAAACCCAAAGAATGGAAACACATACACAATACCACCATCAACAACAAATCCAAAAATAACAGGTCATTAATACTACCCCTCTTCAACTTGCCTATAAATAAACACAGGCAAATAGAATGGATATGAAGACAGAATTCATCCTTTTGTTGTAGACAAGAAACACACCTCAATTTCAAAGACAGATGTTACCTCAGAGTAAAGGATTGGGAAAAGATTTTCCAATCAAATGGACCTAAGAAACAAGTAGTTATTCTAATATCTAACAAATCAAACTAAAATTAATCAAAAGACATGAAGAAAGTTATTTCATATTTGTAACAGAAAAAAAAAATCCATCAAGATGAAGTCTCAATTCTGAGCATCTATGTCCCAAATACTAAGGCACCCAGATTCATAAAAGAAACACTACTAAACCTTAAATCACACATAAAACCCCTCACACACTAAAAGTGGGAGACTTCAACACCCCACTGTACAGGGCTACCAGACAGAAACTTAACAGAGAAATAAAGGAACTATCAGAAGTTGTGACTCAATGGGGTTTACCAGACATTGACAGAACATTCCATCCAAACATACAAGAATACACCTTATTGTCAGCACCTCACGGAATGCTCTCTAAAATCAGCCACATACATGTCAACAAAGCAAACCTCAACAGATACAAAAAAAAAAAAACGGATTAAGCCCCTGTATCTTATGGAATCACAATGGTTTAAAGTTAAATTCAACAACAACACAAATTGTAGAAAGCCTACACACTCATGGAAACTGAACAATGCTGAACTGCATCACTCCTGGATAAAGGAAAGTATATACTTCCAAGAATCCAATAAAAATAATTGCATAACATGCCCAAACTTATGGGACACTTTGAAAGCAGTGCTAAGAGGAAAAGGCATGGCACTAAGTGCCTACATAAGGAACCTAGAGAATTCCCACACTAGTCACTTGACAGCATACCTGAAAGCTTTAGAACAAAAAGAAGCAACTCATCCATGAGGAGTAGAGGCCAGCAAATAATCAAACTGAGGTCTGAAATCAATAAAATAGGAAAAAGAAAACAATACAAAGAATTAATGAAACAAACAGTAGATTCTTCATGAAAATCAACAAGATAGACAAACCTTTATCCAACCTAACCAAAAGGCAGAGAGAAAACAAACAAATTAACAAAATCAGAAATGAAGAGGAGGACATAACAACAGACACTGAAGAAATCCAGAGAATCATCAGGTCATAATTCAAAAACCTCCACTCCACAAAATTGGAAAAATTAAAATAAATGGACAGCTTTCTGGGCAGGTCTCACACACCAAAATTAAATCATGAACAGATGAACAGACCTATAACCACTAATGAAATAGAAGCAGTCATCAAAAGTCTCCCAACAAAAAAAGGTCCAGGGTCAGATAGTTTCAGTGCAGAATTCTACCAAAAATTCAAAGAAGAGCTAATACCAATACTCTTCAAATTGTACCACAAAATAGAAACAGAAGGGTCATTGCCAAACTCTTTTAACGCGGACACAATTACTTGGGGAGCCAAACCACACAAACACACAACTAAGAAAGAGAATTACAGACCAATCTCCCTCATGAACATTGATGCAAAAATATTCAATAAAATAATGGCAAACTGAATCCAAGAACACATCAGAAAAACCATCCACCATGATCAAGTAGGTTTCATTCCAGGGAGCAGGGATGGTTCAACATACAAAAATCTATCAATGTAATTCACCATAAAAACAAAAAGCAAAAGAAAATCACATGATGATCACACTTGATGCTGAAAAGGCCTTTGACAAAATCCAACACCCCTTCATCATAAAGGTCCTGTAGAGACCAGGGATAACAGGAACATACCTGAACACAATATACAGTAAACCAACAGCCAACATCAAACTAAATAGAGAGAAACTCCAGGTGATTCCTCTAAAATCAAGAACAAGACAAGGTTGTCTACCCTCTCCATTATCTCTTCAATATTGTACTTGAAGTTCTAGCTAGAGCAATAACACAACAAAAGGAAATCAAAGGGACACAAATTGGAAAGGAAGAAGTCATACTTTCACTATTTGCAGATGATATGATACTTTACATAAATGACCCAAAACAGTCTACCAGGGAACTCCTAGAGCTGATAAACACCTTCTGCAAAGTGGCAGGACACAAGATCAACTCAAGAAAATCAGTAGTCCTACTATATACAGATGATACAGTGGCTGAGAAAGAAATCAGAAAAACATCACCCTTTACAATTGCCACAAACAACATAAAATACCTTGGGGCAATGCTAACCAAACAAGTGAAAGACCTGTATCACAATAACTTTGAGTCTTTAAAGAAAGAAATTAAAGACGATACCAGAAAATTGAAAGATCCCCCATGCTCTTGGATAGGTGGGATCAACATAGTAAAAATGGCAATCTTGCCAAAAGCAATCTACAGATTCAACACAATTCCCACCAGAATTCTGGCACAATTCTTCACAATAATCAACTTTATATGGAAAAACAAAAGACCCAGGATAGCCAAAACAACCCTGTACAATAAAGGAACTTCCAGAGGCATCAACATCCCTGACTTCAAGTTCTATTATAGAGCTATAGGCCTGAAAACAGCTTGGTATTGGCACAAAAATAGACAGGTAGACCAATAGAATCAAATTGAACTTCCCAGTATTAACCTACATGTATGAACATCTGATCTCCAACAAAGAAGCTAAAAATATACAGCATTTTCAACATATGATGCTGGCATGTAGAATAATGCGGATAGATACATGTCTATCGCCATGCACAAAGCTTAAATCCAAATGGATCAAAGACCTCAACATAAATCCAGCCCACACGAACCTCTTAGAAGAGAAAGTGGGAGGTACCCTTGAATGAATTGGTACAGGAGACCACTCCCTGAACATAACACCAGTAGCACAGACACCGAGGTCAACAATTAATACATGTGACCTCCTGAAACTGAGAAGCTTCTGTAAGGCAAAGGACATAGCCAACAAGACAAAAGGGCAGCCCACAGAATAGGAAAAGATAGTCACTAACCCCACATCTGACAGAGGGCTGATCTGTAAAATTTACAAAGAATTCAAGAAGGAAGTCTCCAAAACACCAAAGGATCCAATTAAAAAGCGGGCTACAGAACTAAATAGAGAAT